AAATAAATTTTTAAATGGTAAACAAACAATAAGACAAAAAGTTACTTTGGAAATAAATTTTAGGGGTTGCGTTTTCCACCTCTTACAACCATGGGGTAATTACTGGCTAAGTTTCTTTTTGGTAGTACAAAACATCAGGTTGATTTCAATATTGTAACTTTTTCAGTGCTTGTGAAAACATTGTTATATAAATTTTATGTACCCCCTTCAAGGGGCTGTATCTTAACAAGGAATGCTTCAATGAAGTTTCTTTATATGAAAGATCCTATCTTTTTTCGATGAGGAATCACCTCCTTGAATGTTTTACACTTATTCAGTTACACCCTGTATTAACTGATCTTTGTTAAGATATGTAATTATTGTCATATTGTTGTATAACTGTTTAGAAAAATATTGCCTATAAAATCCACCTGAATCATTCATTGTTGATTTGTAATCGGAGTTAGATCAAAAAGCTTCTATCATTTAGTTAGAAAATGAAATATTTTATTTTTCATGCATTTTTGAAGCAGAACTAAAGGGATGTTTCAAAAGTACGAATACATTTTCTATGGACTACTAAGTGTTTGGAAACGTCGGCTAAACCTATTACCATCGACTAGATGGTGATGAAAGATGAAGTATTTTACTGAAAACAAGTGCTTTAGTTACTTTTTACAAAAATTGATGAATTCACGAGAGAAATCTCCTAAAACGTTTTTCTGTAGCCGAGATCTAATTGAATATTTTTTTACTGAATATTCATATATCATCACATCGTTGAGGAAAATAAATATCTTTCGTCGTGTTGATCCTGAACAACACTTTTATTCCATTGAGTGATCTTTACGAATCATTGAGAAGAACAGATTCATGCAGGGTCTTCTTATTTCAGATATGTACATTTTCAAGAAACCTCTAGATTTCTAGATCATAATATAACACTATAAACCAAAATTACATTACATAATATCCCACAAAGATTTAAATATTCCTTTATCATTTCTATTCGTAACATATTCAACAAAACGCGATTTTATTTTCTTCCAGGTACCTGAGTCTTCACTCTTTGGAAGAGTGTAGTCGAATAGAGAAAAAAGCCTTTAAGGAAATACCAAATCTTTCTACATTAGAAGCATATGGATATCCCAAACTAGGATATATCGATATTCAAGGATTGCTTCAAAATATGCCGCTTTTAGAAAAAATTAATATCGAAATCAAAGATGCAGCTATAGGAAAAGATCAATTACAGTCTTTGCTACATCCTCGTCTGAAAGAACTGGGAGTTAGAGGCTCAAGACTGATGAGCATATCTTCAGGAACCTTATCAGGATTGAAAGGTGATTAAAGTAGATATCTGATGATGTGATGAGTTATTGAAATAATTATCCTTAATTTCCTTCTGAAGATTTTTCGATTGATATAAGTAGTACAGCCGCATTAAAGCTTTTCCGGATATTTTAAAACTATATAAATATTGAACCTCCACCAATACTCTTCATGTCACCCAGAGTTCCTTAGGTATATTTAAGCTATTATTATTTTATGTCGAAAAAACTTCCTGTGACATTTTCAGTAGTATAATGTGTGGATTCATGTCATACATTCTTATGAGAAAATTATGATTTATCTTTTTTCATTCATTATCAAATAATCATCAAGCGGGTTCCTAATGAACTAATCTGATAAATCTATTGAATAGTAAAACACGTGTCATGGTTTTATGAAATGTTTAGTGAAAATGTCACAAATGGTTTTTCATCAATTATCGACCATTTCCATAACATAGATTCGTGTATGAACATGGTGCAACTGACTTTGTGATATAAACTCATGAATATCATGGTCATTACAAAAATAAAGATTTTTTGTGATGACTTCTAGGTTACCAGAAGAGCTACTCAGGGCATAAGATAATTGCAATTTCATAAACAGCTCCCTCAAGAACAAACAAAGAATGTTTTGCCATCAGACCAATAATGGTTCGCCTATAAAATAGGCCTCCAAGCTAGACTAATTTCTAATACACGTTAAAGATTATATATCTTTGTCTAAATCATTAAAATCCCACCAATATTCATAACGAAGAAGGTAGGGTCACACTTTCGTGTGATATGTTGTGTTACCTTCAAGTAAGAAATTGACGGGTCTCTTTGAAACAAATTGGTTACCGTGTATACGTCTCAAAAAAAGTCATGAAATGAAAAACCGTCGCTTCAAATTATAGATAATAGATAGTCTGATGAGCATGAGATCTGTAAACAAAGTTTCCATTCTGAACTATTTTATAAACGACATTATTTGAAATTTGAGCAATGGTTGATGTATGATTTTTGTAGTTAGGATAAGCTCGATGACATTCAAAATTGGGATGAAATGAAATGTCAAACTTCAAAGTTTCAGCGACAGTACCGAAACATTTTTATATCAAGAGAAACTCTATTTGATCAGACAGAAAATTTAGAACGAGAAATCTCCTACACTTCAGACCAATATCGCATTTAGCTAATTCAGGTCCTCCTAAGCACAATACTAGGCAATTCAGTAATTCGAATACTGCGAAAATTGAAACTGAATTTTCGAGTACATTTACGAGTATAAAATTGTTTACCTATTCAAATCAAATACTTCGAAACTCAAAATTGATCTGAAAAAATATATATTGACCGACTTTTTTCATTATTTTCTTTCTTTCCTCTTTAATATCCATATTTTTTCAATAATGCATTTGTTTCTCAATGATAGTGTTCATGTATATTTATTTGTTTATTTCTTTGTTATGGCTCTTCTATAAGCATTGTATGTTTTTTGGAATCAATTAAATTCATTAACATAATGAATGCGTTGAATTGAACTTGATTGGTGGAACTCGTTCCGAGAAAAGTGTCACAGTTCCATTTTGAAGCAAAAAAGTTTTCATTGGGCCGTTTCAACGGAGTATTATAGGGACTTGAATAACATTTTGAGACATTATACTTCAATGAAAGTTTTAAATCAGCATTCAGTTGGAATAGCTCATAGTTATACCATGACAAATTGAAACTTCAGGTCCAGAAGTGATGATTCGTTTGAAGAACTCATCCCTGACTTCCCTGCCGCCGGCCTTATTCTTTCCAGTGCCCAGGTCAACTCGTATCACCTTGGACGTAACAGGGAGTCAACTCACAACAATTAGTCCCCAGATGCTCGCCGCACTTGAAGATAGAAGGGGGGATTTGAAAATTATCGGCTTGGAAACTAATCCAATCGTATGTGACTGCGGTGCCAGGGCCCTTAGAAGATGGTTGCCTTCTTATATGTCCTCAATAAGATGTTCAGCACCTGAGAGTTTAATGGGTGAGGATGATAACTTTCGGTACTTGATTTGTGCTACATGATTGAACATTTCATTCACTATTCTTTTAAAAATATTGAATTTGTTCATTGAAACTCTGTTGATCTTTTCTTATGAAATATTTATTATAACTATATAGGGTTCAGGTGGTTATTCATTTTGTGTGTAGAAAATATTGTTGAATTTTGGTTTGAGTCAAAAGAAGATTCGGGAAGATATCATTGGATACATTTTTTCTAATATAACACCCTGTATATTTTCAAATTTTTGAATATCTGGTATAATTTATTTGTTTGCACAAAAAACTAGGTATTCGGCTTTTAAGTGTTTCCGCCATAAAATTCAAAAGTTTGATAGAATACATAAATATACACATAAAAAAAAAGACATCATATCTAATGATGCATACCAAAGATATATCAATATTTTAAAAAAGTAGTTAGAGAAACATAACAACGCTGTAATAAAATTTACATTCAAACGTCTACTAATAAGTCCAAGGCAGTATGGAATCTGGTCATATCTATTGCTGGTTCGGACACTAAGACACCCATGTCAGTATCGGAAAATATTTCTCCAGATGAAACTAATAAATTACTAGCTCTAAATAAGGTGAATCAGTACTTTATTGATAACTGCATAGTTTTGAATAGTGTAAATAAGAGCAATAAGTATTTAGAGCCTCCATCTTTTGATAAAAGCATATTCTTTCCCCTAACAGATTCAAAAGAAGTTTATAATACTATTTTGAAGTTAAAAAATAGTAAAGCAGTAAGTGAAGATGAAATACCCTGAAACATGTAGCATATGAGATATGTGAACCTATTGCACACATAATCAACTTATCATTTTTGACAGGTATTTCTCCTGATAATCTTAAAATAGCGCATGTCAAAGCTATCTTCAAAAAGGGAAATGAACATGAAATAATCAACTATAGGCCCATTGCAATATTGTCAAGTGTTAGTAAAATCTTTGAAAAAATAATATACAATAGACTGATCACGTATCTAGAGAATAATAATCTTCTAAGTGATATGCAGAATGGATTTAGAAGAAATAAATCTACTACTCGAGCTAACTATCAAGCTCTATGTAAGGTAATTGAATCTATCAATAGTAAAAAGGCTACAACAGCTGTCAATCTGGACTTGTCTAAGGCTTTTAACAGTGTTGACCATATATTACTGATCACAAAACAGTCGTTCTACGGTATCAGAGGGCTGCTTCTCGAACTAATTACGTCCTATTTGAAAAATAGACAGCAATGTGTTACTGAAAGGGATACTGATGGAAATCAAATGAAATCAGAAATGCTATATATTGTAAGAGGAGTACCCCAGGGGTCAGTGTTCGGCCCACTACTATACATTCTTTACACTAACAATGTGCCTGAAGTTGTTGATGAATACATGGTTCAGTATGCCGATGACTGTTTTGTGGTTTTTAGTTCAACCGATCACAACTACCTACAGGCAAATATCTTTTTCAAGCTAAAGATTCTGGAGGAGTATTGTACATCACACAATCTCAGACTGAACAAAAACAAAACACAAATCATATCTCTTACCCAAAACGGCATAAATAATATTTTTAGTAATGGTGTAACTATTTTTGAACCAGTGATCCAACTTTTCTTTCTTGGAATTGAAAATAATTATACAAAATATATCCAGTGAGGCTGCGAGTTTAGCATATAATGGTGATATTCGGAGTCACATCAGTTATGGTATTATGTTCTGGGGAATGTCTGCACATACACAAAAAATATTCATATTGTAAAAACGGTGTCTCAGAAAAATATTCAACCTTTCTCAGAGAGATCATTCTGCATTGTGATATAGTTTAGTCTCTTTTGAACCCTACATATAGATGTATTCGTTCGTGTTTTGTATTTAATATAATAATATTACATTAAGTACATTGACTGTGATAACCTTGTTTCATACATCTATGGCCATTTATATTTTTAACCAATATTAATGATATTGCCTCATGATACTTCTGTAATGTTTACTATGATTGACATGTTCTACACCTGAAAAGGTTTTAATTACAAAAAAATAATGAAGGATATCTATCTATCTATTGAGTTATCAAAATACTATATTCCATCGTCGTGTAGCAGTAACATTTCCAAAATGTTATAACGGATCTTCCAACAGGAACTTACGAACATTGACGATTGATCTTATTGAAGCTACGTCTGACAAATTAGTTGTTATTTTCTCATCTTGTTTTGTCAAATCCCCATGGATGTTTATAGCACTCAAAAACATGTGATAATAATGGAATTTGATGGTTCATAATGGTCTCCTGAGGACGCTAACCGTAATTTTTGTTCTGGTGTTGGAAAGTGTTTTCAATAAATAATAAAATTGTAGAAGATTTCTGATCAATATGTTTTGAGTGTACTTTTTCTACTAACACTTGTGTCCAAGATACTGAAGCTGCACCGATATCAAGAACAACATTTCCAGGTTGGAGAATATTGAACCTTTCATTTACATCTGTACATCTGTAATTTATTTTCTTTGCCTACTCAACATATGGATCCGGTCAATGTCTTGCAAGCCATTGTGGAGAGCTTGCTTTTTCCCCTTTGATTTAAGAATTTCAGAACTCACACTTTTGCTAGATTACTAGTTGAAATGGAAAAACATTTATTATTATTAATTTTCTGCGTGCAGGAAGTAAATTTTGGGTATCTTATGTATTTATATACGCATATTGAACATACTTGTACTTTCAAAACAAGTGGTAATGAAATCTTCAATAAATCTGGAATTGTTTACAACTGATTTTTTTGTAAATGGTATACTGAATTAATTGTAAAATTGGGTTTTTTTTATTTGAGAATCAGATTCCTTTGAATTGCAGATGATCCTGACTCATTTTCATGAAACATTTTCTGAATAAAAAAACAACCCTTCACGAGATATTTCAGTTTTCCTTGAAAAAATAAAACACTCGCATGTCCACCATAAAACTACAAACTACGAAATTTTTATTTCGAAAAGTTACAAAAAGTTTATCAGAGCTATTAATTTGCCGTCAAATAAATAACTAATGAATCAAAACTATAACGGGAAATTAATATTTCTGATAAACGAAATGAAGATTTCTTAGCCCGTATAGTTTTATTGTGGTCATGACATGTATACTCTTGATTTTTGGTATGAAATGAGTCAAAATCATCTCGGAATTTCAAAACAATCCTAAAATACAAGGTGAAAAAACAGAGTTATGGTCCATTTAGAATATCTTCAGAATTATTCATCGATTCCGAACAACTTGTATAACATTTTGGAAATGTTACTCCTACAAGACGATGAAATGAAGCATTTTGATGAATCAATGATAGCTTATTAATGTATTCTACACAAAATAATAGAAATAAGTTTTTCCTAATTTTATTATTTGCTGAAACATGTCTTATAAGGTACTTAGGTCAAAATTTCCTGTTTTGTCATTCCCAAGCCTGATTCAGATAATACACTCAACTTCAAATTTTGAATATTGGTGTCAGTGAAATATAATTTTTTTTTCACTTTCCTGTAAATTTCATCGCAACTCTTCTTCAGATGCTGTAGTTTTTTCAATAACCTAGAAATTGAGGAAGACTTAAAATAATATTTTATACAAAATGCTACATTTTTGAGTGTTGATAAAAATATGACCCAAATTCCTGAAGGTATTGGGAGTTTTCGATGTTTCAACCACCCTGTATGACTTGAAGGTAGAATAAGAACCTTTGGCAAAGATCAAATCCAGAACAGTCACTGTTCTCACGCACCAGAATTGCAACACTGCAGTTTTTCACCAATGAAATAGACTAATTTGATACAATATTAGATTTATATTAGGTTCATATTCCAATTACGCCAAATTGCTTGGTGAAAGGAACGTCTAGAAGAGTGTTGCAGTTCTGATAGTGCTTCTTTTATAGAAAATTTCAAAGATTATTTTCAATAAGTTCTCTATTCAGATAAGAAAATCATAGATTTTTTTGGTTGGTATTTGTGTTGGCTATGATTTATAGTTTTCATCATGTGAAGTATTATTTTGTATACACTATAGTTCTAGATAGAATATGAATGAGTCATGGTAATGTTTTCCAATCAATCTTCGTACATTACTACTATCATACCTTTGAATGCCGATTTATACGAATGGCAGCCTATCAGTTACCAACATTTTTTATTATTCTGAAAGATGAGGGTTCTGCAAAGTTTTCAACAAATTGAAAAATTTACGTTATTTTGGTCGAAAGTAATTTTTTCATATCGACAAAGATTTATACATGAGATATTCGGGAAAGCTCTCCGAAAACATAAAAAAACTATTTTTCAAAATTCAACATAATTACATCTTTTAGTAGTAGAAAGATAAGTGGAAAAAATCGAGCATGTACCGGGTGATTCTCTACGATCCTATAACTTTTTTATTATTGGAGATATAAAACGAAATTTTTGACATATTTACCTGCTTTGCCGTACTTCCGGTTTGACCGGGAATGACCCCAACTTTCGATTTTTAAAGGGGACATCCTATATATTTTCACTTATTTTGATCGAAAATGACATTCTTAATCCAACAATACTTCACTTCGATCGATCGTGTAAATCGCTCCATTCTTGATCAAGTAACATGGGAAAACTACGACTTTGAGGCTTATGACTTCACAGTCGTTTTAAGAATTGTTTCACAGTCACAAATATGAATTTCTTCAGTTAACTTGATTTTTTCAATTCTTATGAATAATTTGATGCCACACACTTTCACTTTATTTTATCTATTTGCTGAATAATTGCAAGAAACGATCATACCTATTAAATAGGCTTATGAATATGCTGTCACTTTTAGAAATTATTCTGGTGTAGTTTATGATTTGATATAGTAAGTAGAAACGAGAAAATTTGTTGCTAATTTACAGAAAAACAAAAAAGAATGCAACTGATGCTGCTCGAATTTATGCTCAGAGATTCCTTAATCGTCGCCATTGCCCAAAGTCGTAGTTTTCCCATGTTACTTGATCAAGAATGAAGCGATTTACACGATTCATGGTATTCTAGATAAAAAAATAAAAATTTGAATAAACATTATTTCATATGTCAAGTATTGACAAGTGGAGAATTGTTGAATTTAGAATATCATTCTCCATCAAAATGAGTAAACATATATAGAATGTCCCATTTAAAAATCGAAAGTTGGGGTCATTTTCGATCAAACCGGAAGTACGGCAAAGCAAGTGAATATGTCATATGTAAAAATGTAAATTAAACTATAATACACAACCTCTAAATTTAGTTTTTCTATCTGCAATAATAAAAAAGTTATAGGGGTGAGCCACCTTAGACAATCACCCGGTATAGACTAGAAGAATGTGGTGTTGTGCTGTTCAGCTTATACAGGCCAGACAGTCGAAAATTTCAAAATAAGACACTGGGAGCATGTATTATCATATGAAACATCAGCTATTTAAATGACATCTACAAGAAACAAACCACACAATAAACAATGAAAACATAAAAATTCTCTATATTCAAATCAATTCATCCCATCCACGAAACGAGCTCTTGAGGTATTCACTTTACTCAAATTTTCAATATAATACTTGACATTGACTAATAAATTCAATTTTCTACAGGAAAACTTCTAGTGGAAATCGGAGACGATGAGCTCACTTGTGACTCTAGAAAAACTGGCGTTTCTTCTACTCAACCACCAACTTCCATATTCACCAGAGGAACTCACCAACAAACGAAAATAACCGAACCTGAAATTATATGGTCGATGCCAACCACCGAAAAAGTAAAACCGAAACTCCCCACTGCTGGTCAATCAAGTGTCAACAACGATGATACTCTCATAATTGGCATCGTAGGAGGAGTAGTTGCCTTCATCACGATACTGATAATAATAATATGCATCATCAAGTTGAAAATGACCAGTAATGACTACCGAGGGGGTCCTCTTGCCAACGGGGGTCCTATGGCAGGAATGGTGGGTCCAGGTAGCAGTTGTGCATGCAGTGTCAAAGGAAACCAACCTGTCTATGCGGTGCCGTCCTACGGTGCGGCTTACTCCGCCACTTTACCTCACAAGTTGCCATCCGGTCAGAGTACGAGGCCATCTAATTATTCCACAATGGGTAGGGTTCCATACTACCAAAGTGCACAGCCATACTTCATAGCTACGTATCCGTCAGATGAGAAAATATATCGGTAACCTACTATAGAACAACAAATGTGTGAATAAGCCTGAGAAATGAACTATATTTTCCAGTGAGGGTGTGACAGCTGGAAAACGTGCGTAACCGTCCTAAAGTATGCATTTCACCCGCTGGTAACAAATTTTTTCGACCTTTTCCGTAATTTTTCAGCATAGGAGAGAATTGAATAATAGTAATCATATTTACTCCAACGTAAGAAGAAAATTGTACACACATCAAAAGTCTCGAACCCGAAAGTTATTTTGCAGATTATTTTATTGTGGAATAAAATAATAAACTGTTACTGAACTATGATTTTTTCTGAATATATTTTTCCACAAAAATACACTTTTAGAAAATTTGAACCGTAGTGAAAGCAAGTTGAAAAATTATTATAATTTTTAGGTTAAATAATTCAGAACTTACAGAACCTTTGTTTATTCTGACGAAACACCAATTAGAAGTCAGTGTGACCTTCTCTGTTTCTCAGTAGTATATTGACACGACTGTGTAGTGAAACGAGCAAACGATTGATCTTTTCCCGAGCAATATTGTTCTATTACTCTACTACTGCTGCAATTGACTCTTCTGCATTTTGGAGTAGGTAAATGCAGTTGTGAACTGCTCTAGAAACACGACCCTACATGTTTTCAATAGGAATCTGGTCCGGCTAGTTAGGTGATAAGTCTGGCTGGAAAACTTGCCGTTATTCCAGTACATCTTGAACGTCTGGCTGGAAAACTTGCCGTTATTCCAGTACATCTTGAACTATTCATTGTCGTCCATGAAGATGTACGTTCCATTATCATCATAAAGATTTTCAATATGAACCTAACTTGTCATGTGATCAAATACACGGCATAATGGCGTTGGCTCCATTGAACATGGTGCCTCCCCAAAACATTATTGTCTCTCTTGATTGAGAGCAACCTTAAGAGGAAAATTTATTCTTTTTTGACGACCTGGCTCTTTCCAGACCCTTTCTCTATGCTCATCACTCTGCAGTCTAATTCTAGTTTCATCTGTAAATATGACTAATCGCCATTGTTGCAGAAGTAATTCGCTTTGATCTCGCGCCCATTGTAAGTGTAGAGTTCGATGTCGTCAAAGTAGTGTAGTACACCCAAAGGTCTTCTTGCTCGAAGATTTGCCCGATGGAGTCTTTTTCTAACTGTAGAGGTAGCTGGAAAGTACCTGGAAGAGGAGTCCTAAGGGCTGGAGCTGAAGCATTTCGATGTATACGGGTGTATTGAACCAAATATCGATATTGCCTTTCATGTGATATTCAAGGTCGACCACTACGTGATCTCCTTCCCGCTGTTCCAAATTCCTCATAGCCATGAACTATTCGCACAATAGCAGATCTTGGAATGTTCGATATCCTGTATATATGGTGATTGAAATATCTAGTACCATGCAAAGCAACAATTCTTATCCTGTCAAAAGCAGATATTTCACATCCTGGCATCATTTTGAAAGAATAGTACCAATTTACGGTGCTAACTATTCAGTGAAACTTTCCATTGTTACTATAAAAAATGACAAATCAGGAATACGTCATCCGACAATTTTTTTTATACCGTTTCTTAACCAGATAGTTCAACTCTTTTACTCGGCAACAATAACATTAATATGGGGGGGTCCGAGACTGTTGATGTGTGTGAGTGCTTGATGCATAAAACTAGTCCATAATTCATAATATGTGATGTCAGCTTTTTTGAAATATATGACTACTACAACCCCAACATGATACTGGTTGGTACTGTCCACAATGATGCCCCCATGTACAGAGTGTTTATTGAACATGCGGCAAAAATTCAAGGGACTATGCCTTGGTTTATGACAAATCAGGAATACGTCATCTGACAATTTTTTTATACCGTTTCTTAACCAGATAGTTCAACTCTTTTACTCGGCAACAATAACATTAATATGGGGGGTCCGAAACTGTTGATGTGTGTGAGTGCTTGATGCATAAAACTAGTCCATAATTCATAATAGCTGATGTCAGCTTTTTTGAAATATATGACTACTACAACCCCCAACATGATACTGGTTGGTACTGTCCACAATAATGCCCTCATGTACAGAGTGTTTATTGAACATGCGGCAAAAATTCAAGGAACTATGCCTTGGTTTATTCTAAAGATATTTTGTCCTTTAATGATTTTTGATAGGGAGCTTTGTTTCGAAGATACGGTGCGAAAAAGAATTTCAACAATAATAATTTATTACCAAAAATTACATGTAGAGTTTCTTAATGTACAAGAACTGTTGAAAATGACTACCCCCCGCTCGGATGCCAGAATCTTCCTCTCACTGACTCCCGAACTCTTTCAAAAAACACCAGGATCGTTTCTGATTGCTTTACACCCAGCAATCATCCGGAATTGTTAGATTTTTTATTACTTGGTAGGTTCAGTGCAATACGCTATACTTTTATTTCGGTTACGTTGATAATTTGAAATTACGAAAATTGTTATTGTATCCGTATCTTCGAAACAAAGCGCCCCATCAAAAATCATCACAGGACAAAATATCCTCAGCATAGTCCAAGGAATAGTCCGTTGATTTTTTGCCGCATATTTGATAAACACCCGGTGTGATACTTTCAAGTATCTAGAATAAATCTAGGAGAGGGTATATTCACAGCATCAAAATATTCTTTCAAGTTTTTGACTTCTTATATTTTTCAGTTGACAAAGTAATTGTAACATTTTCTCTCCTTTTTGATAGGTACTAAGATAACATCTATTGAGAACGCTTTTTCCTCACCGGAACCGGAATGCAGTCTGTCGACGCGTGTTTGGGTAACCAAGTTAGATGACTGAAACCATCTCCTGGTATAACCAGCATCTGACTGAAGTAGTCTATTTTGTTTTCGAGATAAGACAAATTTGATGCCTTCCATCATAGTTCAGAATAATTGTTTTTTCTCGAAGATATGTGAAAACAGGTAATGTGATAAATATCCTCTTCAGTTCCTTGATTCCGAGCAAGGAATTGCACTTTTGAAAGCACGACCTCGTTGATCCTTAACTCGCTAAGTTTCTTCTTCTGAGGGTTGTCGTTCATAGGGGGCGACAGCTAGTTAACGACAAACATATTATTAATCAGGACTACAATTGTTGTTTTCGTTCAGTTATTCGATGAAGTGGGTAAAGAACATTTTGATAATATTATTTTTGTTTGATAAAACAGTTTCGAAATTCTGTGAGGTTTCACTTTGAATCCAGGTTTGTGACAATATCGTATGCATTTTCTCTATCGTCTAACCTTTTTTTTTCCCAGAATGATGTTTGTGTTTTGAAGAAAAAATTACTAATCAGGTGGGAGATCACATCACAAGCTCCGTTGAGGTGACATCTTCTTGATAGTCAATCAGTATATTGAAATACCCCCAGGACAACTTGGGACAACTTGGATAGCAAACAAATTTTGATTTTCGAAAAGTTTTATATTTCAGGCACTATTTTGATGTTTTTTTTTAATGCTGAAAGAAAAATTATCCCAAATTGATTAAAATCAAACAGATACCCTGATGAGGCCCCTTTTACACACATTATACATGGAAAAATTAAGTTATATCTGTCATCTGAGTTTAAGATACCTTATGGTGGAATACAGACTTTGAATGACACTCAAAACTATCTTTTATGTAAGCTTGGTTCATTTTCTAATTTAATGTACTGCCACAATTCACTTGTAGACTCGACCCAGTTCACTTGTATCGAAAGTTATGATTGCGTTACTCTTGAACTTCAAGGTCATACTTGTTTGATGGGAAACTGCGGAAATCTTGACCGAAAGAATGTCATTGTCGACTGATCACTCTAGATCAGAGCACGTGATTGTATAACTCAGTATGAAAAATATAATTTAGTGTGTTCATTTCTATAGTTTGAGTTCAATTTCAACGATGTTATTTTTGAAATTTGAATATCAGCTGCTAGCGGAAGATTTTTATGCGATTAGATACCTTTACGGTGCATACTTTATGATTCAAGAGGGTCCAACAAACAGTCATGATTTTTGTTTTGTTTAAATCTTCTCGACGTTCAACCAAATGAGTTGGCATCAAGAGATGAATTGTGTAGTGAACGTTATCTTTCGAAGACACCAATTTGGTAACTGTAAATTTGGTTTGTGGAAGTTCTGTTTGTTTCGAAATTCCATGATATACAAGAAAATTATCTTGTAGAAAATGGAAAAAGTGCGTACTTTATGATAAAACAATATATTTTTCTATTGAAATGTGAGGATCTAAAAAAAGGAAGTGTCACATAGTACACATTTAAGAATGTTTTATATCCACTGTACCTGTTATCGCACATTATATCTAATATATGTAAGTGTACACACAAACATTATAAATGAGTATACTGTGAAATGTTTTGTTTTGTGGAAAATGTAAAAGAAGTTTTATCAACCCCTTTGAATTTATATATCAGTAGAATGTTTTTTTTCACAAAATTAAACACCCAATGAGAAACACAAACGAACAAAGAACAGTAAATTTTCACAGGACAGTAAAATCGATCACATTTCAAATTTATCTTCTAATAGAAATAAAATACTAATTCTGTTATTAATTTTATTATGAACGCAGTGTATATAGAATGAAAATCAGTTTACTTGTACATAATTGAAGTGTTACGATTTTGTTGGAAACAAAAAAATAAAGAAACATTTTTTTTTATTTACCCAAATGTGGTTATTTTTTCCTCAATAACAAATGGTAAAACGATATTACCGAAAGTCACATTTCCGAAGTGTTGTGTCAAGAGGCAGATTACAGCCCGAAAATTACTCAAAGGTAGCAACGCACGGAGAGATATAATTTGATATATTGTCAAATATGGAAAATAATCATGAAATAATTCAAATGCACTTGAACGAATTCATGAATTAAAAGATGTTCCAAAAAGATGTTCTAAAACAAAAACACTCAGTATTCAGAATTCCATCTTTTAATATTTCAAGTTCATAGACATCGAAATTGATCCGATCACAGGATATAGAATATAAAACAATCTCCAAATACGCAAACTTGGCACAGATTGCATGCTGTGCATTTTACCTCAGTACAGTGACCTGATCAAAGTTGCAATGTCAGCGTATAAATCTTCATGGATATTAAGGGAAGGTCAAGATCATGAACAGACAGTATTGAGAAATTAATTCAGTATCTAATAATCTTTAGAAAAAGTTCCAGCAATGCAGCACGTCTCCTTTTCTTCCATCCTGCTGGGTGGCAGCATAATGTAAGTTTTTGGTGATTTATTGTATTTTTGATTAAGATTTGAGTGTGAGTTCATTCCTGATCTAATTGAGTTTTCAAATGAGTTTTTTCATTATTTGGATGAATGATGGATGGGTGAAACAGCGAATAAACTCCTCTCGTTAATAAGCCAAGCGACTACCGAGTTGCGACAATATATTATATGTCATATACTACAAAAATATCGCTAATCATTGTTATGATTAAAGCGAAACGTACTGAACTGTAATATATAGCTATATCGTAGAGGTATATTTTAACATAGCTTATTAACGCTGGTTTGAGCGATATTTTACTCTTATATTTGCACCCGTTATATTCTTATATTTCCATCGACACAAGTGATTGAATTCGTGATTAACGAAGTGAGGTTAGTTTTCCATTCTGTTCTGTCGTGTTTGATTGCATTCTTCATTAATTTCTCATTCACTGTCTATATTATTAAAAAATGAAACATTTCATCGAAAGTGTAAGAAAATGCATGTGCTTCTGGAAAGTTGATGAAGAAGACTATACAAATAATGAACTGAAAGATACGGGAAGGAATGTGATTTACCAGATGACATGTGAAATATTTTCTTCATTCATTATAAAGCATAATGTGAGGTAATCGCACTGACCACATTTTTACACAATTTTACAGAAAAAGATGGGGTAGATATTCATACTTACTAAAGATGGGAAGGATTTTTGGAGATACTACAATTTATTTCATCTCAAAATCTAATCTAATGGTTGAATTTCCTAATCAGATGAGTAATATTTATTATTCAATTTTCAGTTCTGTATTCCGCTGACATTTTTACAATAAAAAATATGGTACACATGTTGATTGCCGAGCTCCCCGAGTATTAAAATATTTGCAATATTTCTTTCTTATGAAGAAGCTTTCATTAGAATATCTCAAGCCACAATGAGTCAAAGATCTTAATTGATTTGGATCTGAGAATTCAATATCCTCTTCTCTCATATCGTAAGAGACATCATTAAAGAAAAAATTATGAAAAACACATATAGCTTTAACAATTTTATTTACTAATTCAACGCGGCAGTCGAAATAGCTTTCTGAATATGCCAAAGGCATTCTCGACCACTTGACGTGCTATGGAAATACGGTAATTATAAATTCTAGTTTTTCTACTTTGGAGATGTGCGGGCATTAAATTATGAAGTAACGTAAATGCTTCGTCTCCTATAAGTAAATAAGACATATTTATTCTATCCGGGTATAATGGTTCTTCTGGTGGTAGATTTAAATTGATAAATGAAGAAAGTAGTAACGGAATTAGGTGGTGCCTTCATTAATACCTGCTTAACGTCAATTGCTCCAACACAATGATCAACTTATGTTTCACTGTTTGGAACCTTTGGTATAGTAATGAATATTACAGCAGTTTTTCCCCAACACCAAATCGTTATTTTTAACATCTCGACACAGTAATATACAATGATCAAATTGACAGATATATTTAAAACCGTTGGCAATAATTCCTTCAATTTCATTCAACACCATTAGTCGAAGATGGTTCCATAAGGCGTCACAAACTTCTACAATTTCAGAGATTGTTATATCACCCATCCTGTAACTGTAGGCCATACACCTAAAAGAAATTCCTGATGCCATGTATATAAAAAGTAGATAAGGTATTAGACACGTCAAATATTGTTTGATTATATATACATACATATACAGGGTCCTGCAACAGTGGCGCGGTGTTCCATATCTCTATATAGGAAGTAGATAGGAATTTAATTTTCTATAATATTACCTTATTGCTCGAGCTCGACAAAATAAAAATATTGGCGGTCACACAGGGTGTTCGATTTTTTCTGGGCGGATCCCAACTGTGTCTTTTTAAATGATTCTAGCATTTGATTAATTACTCTCTTGTTATAGTAAAAGAAGCAAAGAATTTATGGAAGAAGTTGCGAGATGGTCTCAGACAAGTGCTAAAGAAAAAACAACAATAACTGGACTAGCAAGTACCGACATTCGACCCTGGAAATATTAAAAAGCTTATGGAATTTCTGATATGATACATGTCAAATAGGGTCAGAATGACCAATGTAAGTGTTTGTTCTGAAACGTAAGGAGAAATTGCGGTAAATGAGACCACTATAAATAGATCGACTGAAAATGTGAGCTTTGAACGGAGTATTACTTTTCGATGCGAAGAAAAAAACGATACTATCCTCAAATATATAGAATCAGAACAAAAAAGAAGAGACCGGAGATCAATAAAAAGCGATTTATATAGAAAAGAACTAGTACAGAAACGGACGCCACAGAAAACGAATACAATGGAAGCATTTTTAATACCATGTGCGCCATGACCAATAATTTACCAGAGAGTTATGCAAATAAGAATTCAACGACAAACTTCCAATATTGTTCTCGAAGCTGGCGAAGAAAAATTGAAAAACCAACCTCAAAAATAGAGTCAATTGTTAATAATCCAGGAAGTATACCTTTCATTCACTCACATATAACCACACCATCAGACTGTCATACTCTTATTACTGTCATTACTCTTAACAAGAGTTAAGCTTTCCTCATCTGCACTTTGCTCTTAATATAATCAATGTGATTTGCCCAGGTGAGTCGGCTGTCTACCCAAAGGCCTAGGTACTTAACTTGCGTTTGCCATTTGACCTTCCTGTCTGAAATTGTGACCCTTGTGTCTGGAGAAAATTTACGTCTCACCAAGTCTATCGCCTGAGATAAACCAAAGAAGGTGTTTAGGAGGGAATTGTGATAAATGACGAGAAAGTTTAGCATTTCACTGGCCGTTTTGATATCTGTTTAAAATCTGTTTTTCCGTTAATCATCTGTCGCCCTCATACGAACGATAACTCTCAGAAGTTGAGAAACTTGTGCGAGCTAAGCACTAACGAGGTCTTACCTTTTAACGTGTGATTCTTAACACATCAACAAAGCTATGTAGATTAGATTGATATTAGTCATTATTGTATTCATCTCCAAAATAGTAGTATAGGTAGTTACAGATTTCCGAAGAGAACAAAATCCGGGCTAGTAGGCCATGGTCGAATGGAACCTGTAGTATCAAAAATTTCGTCTGCTACTGCGGCAGACATCATCAGTGATATGTGCGTTGACTACGAAGACGAAGGTTATATTTAGAAGTCTCAGCAACGATTGAATGTTGACTAATATTACACCATTGTGAACGTCTTAGCACCAGGTGTCCCGGTAGTGAAAGTGCTGAAATATGTGACACTCTTGAGGATATCAGCCTCAAAAAACTTGAGAGGCAATATAGTATCCGGATAGTTTCAATAGAAAGAAAGATACAATCGACATGAGTAAAATTTGGCTTCCTGTTCTTTTTCGTACACACACAACCAACCAACAACGTTTACCAATGATGATATAAAACCGAAGACCAATTCCAACATCGTAGTTTCTGTGTTAAGAACAACTCGAGTACTTCGACCGTTACCTCATCGCCTTTGATTCTCTCTACCGCAGTAAAAGACGAAAATTTCAGGCATAAAAACTTTCAGATCACGGCCCAAAATCCGGAAAGTAGCTTTGACACAGTTTAATGTCGTTCTCTCTGAATTTTCAAAAATGAAAGAATTTATGAGGGATGGATTAAAGATGAATTTCATTATTTTCATTATTTGTAGGTCCCGAATTCAATTTTTTGTTGAGGAAAATGTTGATTGTGCCTCCTTAGCGACGAGTAATGCACTATCGTTTCAGTTTGAATGAGGATCATTGTAAATTATTTCATTATCAAATAACCCACTTAATGAATACTTATATCAATAATTTTTTTCTTAAGGTATTAGTCGGTATATGCTTTTCAAAATTCAGGATAGGTTTTCTCGTATATACGGGTTGCAGTGTCCTTGGACTATTACTTATATCATTTGCAACATTTTCTCTAAACAAATCAGTCACTCCCAAGTTGTTGTTGAAACTATCGTTCCTTTTATTGCATGAGTTCATGGGTACAACCGATTTCAAGTTTTCTTTAATTTTTTCGATTCCCCATAGTATAAGCAATGTCCAGCATGAATACATTATATTACCAACTGTCCGCTTAGAATAGATTGTTCCTGTTGAATATTCATTCGACTCGCACAATTCTCCAGAAGATTTCTGAGATTGAAACAAATTTATATCGAAATAATTTCATAAAAATTATAACAGTGGTTGATTTTCGGTAATATTTAATGTACTACATGACTGAGATTATCTGCACGCAATACTTTTTGAAATTAATTATATGATTCCGAAAGATTATTTTCGAACATGACATCGAAATTTGAAGTTTTGAAATATGTATCACTTATATGTTTATTGCTTCTTCCACCGTCTCTGGTAACTTGATTCCACGGGTCTCAGGTAAGTTCATTGCCAAAATACCAGCTGAAATTGCCAATCCACCAAACACAATCATTGGTAAAGGGTTGTAGAATAGACTCTGGAACAAAAATTATTAATTTGTAGAGAAGAATAATGAACATATTTTCATTTTTGCTGTCACTACCAATTTCTCTTCATTTTTATGTAGGTACATGAATTCTTCAAATAAATGCAAAGAGTGATTTCTCTAAGATGCTTTAGTATCATCATTATAATATACATTAAAAACAACTTTGACGTTGGTGTATAGGCTTCCACGCCGGAGTCACGATTGAAGAGAACCAACTCTGGACTCGTAGGACGTGGTCGAATGGAACTTGTAGTACCAAACGTTTCGTCTTCTACAACGGTATACATCTTCAGTGCGAAATATCAGCAACGAATGAACTAGTTAGTAAATCATTTCAAAACCTTGGCCAAATTTAGGAGCATGCATATAATTGTCTGGCCATTCGGTACCATTAACTAACTTAAAATAACGAAATAAAACGTTATTCAGAAAATCATTTGACTTCAAAAGAAATCAACTCAAAAATTTCAAACTTTACTTTTCTGAACACCCAAAATCAATTAATGCTTTCTCGGGATTTCGAACAAAAATATCTATTAAATATTGTAAGCACCTACACAAGGGCTAAAAAGTCCCAGGCCTAGAAAAAAAGCGTTTTTGATTGTTCAAAATTGGCTTTATTCATCAACGTAATCTCCATCAAGAGCCACACAATCATTCCAGCGCCGCTCTAACATTTAAATACCACTTTTGTAGAACGATTTATCTATTGCCTTAAAATAGGCCTCAGTTTCAGCAATAACCTCTCCATCTGAGCAGAATTTCCCACCGGTGAGCATTTTTTTGAAGTCTGCAGTAAATCCGGGAGTCAAATCTGGCTTATACGGCGGATATGGGAGCAATTCGAAGTTCAATTCATGTAACCTCCGAACGTTTCAGTTGCGACAGTCCGAGTCTCTGCATATAATGATTCAAATGACACTGACCTGTAAGAAGGCCTGTTAGACGTCGTAGTTCATCCCTACTATAGTCCAACAACTTTTGGTATCGAGCTTCGAATGGTGAATGAACGTCTTGGAATGAGCCAATCCTGGAAGATTCTGTCCATAAATCTTCTTGCCATCCAGGTGTTCAATCTTCGTTTGGCAAAGCCTAAAGCGATGCCAATGACAGGTTCTGGTCCGATGAAACTACTTGCGACACCCTCTTTTGCATGGGAATCAGCAGCCTCATTGCCTTCCAAGCCAGTATGGCCAGGAATCCATACCAGAGACAATCTTCAATTTTTCCTATCGAGGAGAGTCGTTTTTGGCAACTTGCTACCAATTTAGACGTTGCTCGGTAGGAGCCAATGGCTTCCAACGCCGCTTGACTGTCAAAGGGAATATTTTTTCGACTTGTGTATGAAGTTGGATTGTTCCAATCTATCCGCACACAATTCAATAGCGTAAATTTTCGCTTAAAATACAGTCGCATGGTTTCTAGGCAGGTTGATATCTCTGTCCTGGGTCTGCGACTGAAAACACCTGCGCCAGAACCGGAAGGTGTTTTTGATCCATCTGTGAACCAACAACTATCTGCTTTTGATATTTCCTTCTTCCGGAGGAGCCACTCCTCTCTACTCGGGAACAGTACTTTATAAGGAAGTTCGTAGGCATGAAGTGCATAAAGTCAGAGGTGATTTCCAGAATGCTGCGACTTCCAGTGTTAATAATCAACAGTCTGTTGCACTGATGTGGTACTGATGGCACCACTGATGGCCAGACAAACCTGTCTCTGAAAGCCAGAGAGCTTTGCCTGGGCCGTTTTCTGTAAAGCCTTCGGCCACCAGGCAATTGCACCATAAGTGATCATTGGTCTGACAATCATCACATGAATCCAATGGATTTGTTTGGGACCTAAACCCCGAAGTTTACCAGAAATACCTCTACATGTCCATAGGAACAGTCTGGCTTTGTGTAAAACTTTTTTCAAGAGATCAATCCAGCTGAGTTTTATATCAAGGACAATGCCAAGACATTTCACCTTCGTTGGAAATGGAATAAACTCACCATTGAGGGAAAGTGGCGTTAAATAGTCCAATTTTCTCCTTCTGGTGAAGGGGATTATCACAGTTTTGGTGGGGTTGACAGACATCTGTTCCCTCAGGCACCAATTGTGAACAACGTCAATCGTGCTTTGGAGGATATTGCAAGCTATCCTTGCCGACGTAGACCTTGATGCCGAGGTCATCTGCATAAGCTTGTAGATCTACTTTTCTTCTGCCGAGGGCACGAAGCAGACTATCTCCTTATTGTCAAGGGATTGGGAGATTTTCTCTACAAGGTTATTTAATGCTGAATCAATCGATTTGCCGGTTTGATAATCATACTGGTGGTTATTCAGGGTTTTTCAGGATCTAGGGATGAGTAGGCTCAGACGATGAGGTGAAGACACCAGCCGTCTCTGAGTTGCCTTCCGGAGTGAAGTGATGTTTCATCCATTGTCACATATCGACGGTTTGTTATGTTTAAACATGGCCAGACACTGCTCAGAAACATTCAAGACGTTTTTGTTTTTGATCAACCAAGAGCTCGCGCGGCACCCACTTTGAACAGAGCTATCTCATAGGCAAATACTCATGCGATATAAAGCCAACACGTCCTTTTGATATCTTTACAATGTTATCCAAATCAGGCAACTTCACTTTTCGATCAAAGTCAGCAAACAAATTGTTGATTGTTGTTTCTGGATGAAGCAGTATGAAATTATAACACGAAATTGTTCTTGATCCATTATTTTGAAAATAACAAAAGTAGAGTCACTCTTAGCACAATAACTCACAAACTTCTGAGTAGAATATCATAAAATTTCAACAGATTTCTTTTGAAGGTTAGTACTTGCTAAAAAAGCAGTGAAAGTAATAAGACTAACGCCATCTATCTGTTAGGCCCGAGACTTTTCAACCCATGTAGTAATTTGTTTCGTACCTAATTTTGATTTCGTTTTTTTGATTGATTTGGTGTTTATATAAAAATATCATTTAATAATTTTGAGTTGATTTCTATTTGAAGTTCTATCAACTTTTCAAAATTATCTTTTATTCCGCATTTGAAAATTCAATATTTCTAGGATACAGAACACATAATATCTACAAATCACAATGATTATTTTTCATTTCCCATGGAGTAATTACAATTAAATTGAAATGGACTAAAGCTGAAAATAAATCACATAAAGCTGATTGGAGGATTTCACATTAGCATATTATGTGTTTAAATGAAACAGATAGCAATATTTATAAACTTATGACAAAATGGGTGCAAGTGATCGACTGTAAAAAGGGTATTGCTTTCCTGAAGGGATTTGAGTTTAAATTATCACTCAATTGCTTCAATGTCCCCTATCATATTTCATTAGTTCGGATATATATTGATATAAATTGATTTGAAATCCCTGAAAGAATTTGTAAAAATTAAAAAGGTTAGCTGACAAATAACAATTATATCAAGCAAAAAAAAACTGAAATTACAATGTAATAAAATACAAGCATCAACCAAGAAATAAAAAAATTGAACTAATAACACGAGATGGAAATTCGAAAATTATTAACAAGAAATGAAAATTAAAAATCAAAAGATTCCAAACCAAGTTACTTCCCTATCATGTTTCTTGACTCATCTTGTGTCACACGTAGGAACCAAATTTTTCTTATATGTCTAAGGAACATTTCAAGACTTAATATTTTTTTTCAAAACCATAACTCTTTTTTGCGAAGAATAGAAACTCAAAGTCGTCTCTACAATTTAATGTCATCATCAGTACATGTTTCGAACCTATATAGGTTCATCATCAGCTAATATTCAAAATTACCATAAACAATGGTATTGCCAACTACCGTATCAGAATAAGGGGTAAGAAGTGGTGGTGGCAATTATTTATTAACATGATCGACAGCGTGGTGTCTCGTTCAGAAATAGCTACTATATTACTAAAGTTCAGCGGAAAAGTAGAAGGCTTTACCAAATGATTTAAGGTTTGATAATATTGGACATATTATACTGAGAGACTCAACCAATTCGCGAAAAAACGTAGACAATGCATAAGTAACACAATTTACTTCTGTAAAAAATGCAAATTGCATCTGTATCCAGACTGTTTTGAAAATTTCCATATGTATTTATCTTTGTACACCTAGTTTTTATTATCTGTTAAATGTATAGACCTATATGCTACTTTAGGATAAAGTTGCGTATAGGCACCTACGTTTTTTTTTGTTAAAATGATTTGATATCTTTGTTTATGGTAAATTAGTCTCAATTGATACCTTTTATATGTCTTTCAATGAAAAAATTTCAAAATTTAATCATTTTCATGGCCTCGACCGTTAATGGGTTGAATAATTGTAATTTCGGTAGAATATGGAAAAAACTTCAATTTCTTGATAATATATAAACAGTTACGATTGAAAAATTGCTATGAAAATATCAGTCCTTATTCAAAATTTCAAAGTTCAGGGTGCCTCAAGACCCCGTATAAAAAATGTTTGCTGCGGCATAGTGTGAACAGATTTGAAATATTTCTGCAAACGGAGAAAAAACCTCAAAAATTATTTTAAAATGTTCGTTTCTTTTTCAGTATATCTCAGAAAAAAAATAGTTTTTATTTTTCGGTATCATTAAATAGTAGCAACTTTGTCATTAATTAGCATACTATCTAACTCTGTTACTGCATACTGTTTACGAGATCTCCATGCAGAGACTCGATTTTGAATAGCAATCTGTATGAGATGAGTGACGTTTCATCATTATTAGAAATATATATTCACCAAAAAAGGAGCATATGGTGCTAAAATCGCTCCAATACGAGCTACTGCTGAAGCTGTTCCTACTCCTCCACTTCTTATTACTGTAGGGATTATTTCGGCAGAATAAACATAAATTACTCCAGAAGCTGATGTGGCTCCAAGCTTTCCAACTAGAAACATGGTTGCAACTGCCCAGTTACTTGTTACTGTATTGATAAAGATCGTTAATGTGCAGGTAACTCCACAAAGTAATAGGGATCCAGCTAGTGATATCCTTCTGCCAAGTTTGCGAATACAGATCCATGAAATTGTAAATCCTGGTATTTCCACCAGACTGACGAGAGCGAAATTTAAATATTTATTTCCGCCAAGACTTGTGGAATTGACGGAAAGTCCATAAAATACGAAAGTAATCACTCCCCATATGAAAATAACCAACATGAATCTAATAACCAGTTTTCGTGATTTCATCATTTGTTTGATAATACTTAGGGTGTCTTCCCTTTGGCTGTCTGGTTCTCCGTCCTGAAAAACCAAAAAGAGAATAGTACAGTTATAAAATTTCTAGAAAACGATTACATATTTGGATTTTCATTTTGTCAATGCTAGTGATGCTAAGTACCAGAAACAAACATTTTGAGACAGTGAAAAAATAGGTCATGAGCAAGAGAAGTTAGTAAAAGTGAATACCTGGCGTTTAGATTTTTCACCAATTCCTGTCTTTGAATATATTCATTTGTATCAGTCTCAATGGAATGAATTGTAATGATAATCGTATTTTAGCAGTCAAAGAATACTCTATATGAAGTTAATATGTCCATGTCACTTATATTGATTTTGAAGAGTTTGGTAAGCCAACATACCTTGAAAAAGGTTTTATAAATGTTGTTCCACTGAAAACTTGACTTGCCCTATAATATATAAATAGACGTGTTAACAAAAATTTCGAAATTTTATCTTGCGAAATTTTATCGGTGCGTTGTTTTGATGAAACAAACATTTTTTTTTGTCATATGTGGTCATTTCTTTATAACTTCAGCCTTCAAACGCTCTAATAACGCTTTATAATATTCACTGTTGAAGGTATTTCCCTTCTAAAGATAGTCAATGAATATTACACCACGCACATCTCAAAATACCGGGGCCATAACCTTTCCAGGCGATTGTTGTGCTTTCTTGTACTTTGGACGAGATTCACCAGTTGCTTTCCACTCAGATATGGATCGTTTTGATTCTGGAGTGAAGTAGTGGATCCATGTTCCGGCCATGTTCAAACATGGCCAAATGCTCTTGCAATATAAGGCCAACACGTTGTTTTGATATCCTTACGAAGTCTGCTAACTCATGTGATTTCACTTTTTGATTATACAAAATGAATTTGTGGATTTTTTTATGTTATCTGGCGTTAGTTAGTGCCTCATTTGGACGTCCACTGCGCTCTGCGTCATCGGTGTCTCTACAACCACGTTTGAAGTCATCAAACCAACAATTAATTATTGTTTCTGATAGAGCGGAGTATTTATAACACGTTTCAAGTCATTGCTTAGCTTAAACGGTATTTTTCCATCAAGAAGTAGTGTAATCCATTTTCGATCCATTATTTTGAAAATAACAAAAGTAATGTCATTCATAGCACAATAACTTATAAAATTATGTGTAAAATATCATAAAATTTCGTCAGATTTCTTTTGAAGGTTAGTACTAACTAAAAAAGCAAATTACATCTTTATTACGACAGACTGGTTCGAAAGTAGCAAGATGAAAATTATTGAGACCTGTAAATAGGCAAACGTCGTCCTTAGAAAGACCCACTAGATTACCTGATATGACACCCCTGTTTTTTTTTGTGGGGATTCGTGAAATCTGAAGTAAGTTAGTTAATACATAGATGGTAAAATATTGGCACCCCACGCCGGACGTAATTATTTTTTATGTACCCTCACATCACGTGACATTCAGGGAGATACAAACTGGTACATAGTTCAAGATTATTATTCTAATTCATTTGGAAAATACAAGGTAGACAAAAATAGTAGAGTGAGGTGTCGATTCATAATTAATTATGAAGTTTCATTCAATATCCCATATGTTTATATGAAATAAAATTATCAAACAAATCGTTTAAAATAATATCACAGAAGATCACTAAATTCATATGCTTTATTTATCGACCACCCAGCGATACACAATATAGGGCACTATTCTCATTACTTGCAAACACCTTTGACTTTCTGCAAATCAATAATCCCAGTTCCGAAATTTTCATACTCGGTGATTTCAATGTCCACAATATCGAATGGCTCAAATTTTCAAATATCAACGACGAACAAGGTTGCGAAGCTAAGGCTTTTGTACTAAGCAGCGGACTCACTCAGATTATAAATGAGCCGACCAGAATTCCTGACCGTGATGAAGAATATGCTAGTCTTCTGGGTCTATACCTAACAACCAATCCAGAAATTGAAATACAAATCAATTAACAGAATTTAGCTCATTGAAAGAGAGTAGTAAAAAAAACTTCTCAAGAGTGCTGCTCTGTTCCCTCCTGTTCATAAAAGAGGACATATGCCTCCTTACTAACAAGCGATTTTGGTGAAATTGGGGACACGTGTGAATCGTTGTATTCATTCATTGTATTCATCATATTGTATTCATTCTACGTGCCCATTGTACGTAGTCCCAATGTGATTCGAAAGGGCATATTGATTGTAACGACAAGGAGCCACATTGTCTGCTACATAATTGCTCATATCTAATCCTTCTAAAGAAAACTCGATGGCAACATTCAATTTGTCTCTGAATCTTTCCGTTGGAGAGAATCTTTTTAAATGAAATACTAAAATACGGAAAAACTTATGGATTGATAGAGACTTTGTACATTTTCTTCTTTCCTTGCACTTCGAACAGGTTGGCTTTTCATCTCTATCCAGGGTTTTTTCTTTTGTGAAGAAATCCAAGCATTGTGACAAACTCAATTGGCCAGTTCTTTGTGATATAGAGAGAGAGACAAATCTCAGAAAGGATCGAAGGTTACTAATGAGAATCCACAGTGTGGGCATTTCATAGTAGATTTTAATTGACCAATAAAATTGTCTACAATCTTAGAGTCGTTCATGTTCAAATATCTCAGCCAAGACTCTTGTGCTTTTCCGCTGTCGCTCAATTTTTATGGCTGTGGTTTTGTCGGAACCGAAATTGACTCATTTTCTATACTTGACCGCATTCTTTGATTTTTGTAGAATTTTAGGAAAATTGTGACGTAATTACTATGTAGAAGATAGGGAAATATCCTTAGATTTGGGAAAGAATTGATGTTATATACGAGATGTGTGTGTAAGAGTGAGAGAGACACGTGTGACTTAATCGATGCAGAGAGAGATGGAGATGGTATCGAGGTGATACGTCGCCAGCGCAAGCATGACAACTTTGGTGTTGTCGGTTGTAAAATAAAAAGTTGCTTATGGGGTGATGTAGCATTTGGAAAGTGTCCAGTTTCAAGCATGAAGGGTTAGGAAAACGAATCGATAGAAAGTGTATGGTAATGAGATGACGACGACTAGGAGTGTCTACATTATTACGTGCGTTCCAACATATCAACACGTTAGCATCATCGGGTGATGCTAACTTATTGATTTGACCGGTTTCAAAATTGAGAATGGAGGGTTAGGAATACGACTCGATAAAAATTGTATGGTAATGAGATGATGACGACTAGGGAGGGTCTAACGTTTTAACGTGCGTTCCAGCATGTTAGAAGGAAACCAAGTCTTGTCTTTGTTAACCAAGTTAGCATCATCAGGAGAAGGAATAGATGACACTCTAAGGTGTCAAGGAGTAACGTATAGTGGAGTTAACGTTTGATGGTGGAGGCAATGGGGGAGCGAAGTATTCGACAAAGACATTTCAAAATACGTTGTTTCGTGTTTAGACCGTTTTGCGTCCGTTTATTCTTTACCGTTTCGTCGTCATTGTCGCAGCCGTTTTCTTGTTTGAATACTTGTACACCATGTGAACGTACCGAATGTGGGTGAAATTCATGGCAATATGCGTGAAGGCTAGTGATTGTGAGTATGAATGTAACAGAACACCAATACATCATCCTGACGCCGGACCATTTATTTCCACTGGACCACATAGCTGAGTCGCGCTGAGTGCCGTGATCTTTCATGCCATCTCTACTCATACCCAAGGTGGCATGGATCAATGTCAATGTTGAATCGGCATCCGGCAATACGCCCCAAAACGACTAAATGAAGACATTTTAATTTTCTTTGTTTTATTTCAGAATACGTCATCACCCATTTTCCTATTCATACCCAAGGTGACATTGATCAATGTCAATGCTGAATCAACATCTGGAGATAATCAGTACTCAAAACGTTGTTTGATTTTAGAATATGTCATCATTTATTTTAGTATAAATACGTCCAGCGTGGCAAAATGAGTAAGTTGTATCAGTTGAAAGTGATACCAGTGACAAGTGAACCGATTCTATTTGAAAGTAAGTGTTTTCAATTATTTCTCATGATTATTTCGTGAGTTTTTATTGCAAGATTTTGTATAGGTTTTTGACTTTTTGTCAAATGAGTTTATTCAAATGTGGTTTGATTGAAAGTTGGTGAAAGTTATTCCTGAATTATCATGAAATTGCCAGTTGAAATTTTTCTCAGATTAATTTACTTGAATGTTTTTTATGTATAGTTTTTGATGGTTACCGTTTTTTTCAATTGATTCGTGATAAGAAACGGTTTAGAGGTAATGACGTACTCCTCGAGCCACCCCTTGACTACTTTGTTTATCTTACATCAGAAGATAAGAAATGAAAATTGCTGATATTTCTTTTTAATCGAATTCAGTCTTTAATAACGAATGAAAAATAAGAACCATTCATTTCTATTTTTTCTCGAATACTATCTCTCACAGTGAATAATTGTATCGTACAATTTGTTTTGATGTTTTTTTTAGATAACAACCTCGTAACCGAGAAATATGATTATGAATTTTACTCGAGAATTATCTAAAGCTGAATGAGAGTTTTTCTCGTATTTTATCTATTTGCCTTCGACAATGCCATAGCTTTTCTATTTACACCAGTTGTGACCAGCTTTCTAGTTGAATAAAACTCATAGTAAGGTACGAATACCTTTTATTTGTAATGTCATTTGTTGAGAGAGTGTTAGTATATTTTGTAATTTAAAACATAAACTTATTTTATTTTTGTTTTTTCGCAGGTGGATTTATAGAAATTGAATGTAAGTTCAGTTATAGAGAGAAAATCAATTAACAAAATAGCAGATTCATCTGTAGAGACGCCGTAGAGAATACTGACAACCAGAATCGTGAGAGGCAAATTTGGCGAGGTGATGTTCTTGGATTTGGGCAAGAAAGTGTAATTTTTGCCGCACCAAGTGACGGAGGAGTATCGCCCCCATTTGAAAAAATTTTCATCAGGAAAATACGCCGCCGTGGTGTTTCATTTGAAATTGTACGAAATTAAGGTTAGTATTGTTTTCTATCTTTTCTTC